CATACCCATCTTCTCCACTTCCCCATCCCCACCTCCTCACCCCACCCACCAGAACATGACACAGTGCTCAACTCCAGCATAAAACAGGTTTCTTCTCCAACTTTTCTTCCGTCTCCAGAGCTCCAGATTCTGAGAAATTCCTTAGGGTAATACTTCCCCTCTGTGGTGATGTGGGACGACTGTCTCACTTACGACACAAGGAAGGTTCCCAAGGTTTCCTGCATGTGACAGTGAGGATAAGTACTGGCTCCCATTAATAGCTTCAACACCAAAGACATATCCTCAAAATAATTTCGGATCTCTCAATGCAATTTCGACACTATTCACATAGCCATTGGAGTTATTACTTCGACCTCAACTTGACGACGCGTTTTTCCACCACCACAGGTACATCAGCAGCCGCGGATGAACCTGACGTAAGGGAGTCACTGCTGTCGGAGACCTGATATCACAAAGAGGCACAGAGGAGGAGGCAGTGGTAGGTTTTCACACCTATCTCTCTCTCTCCTCTCTCTCTCTCTCTCCTCTACCACCCTTCCCAGCCACGCCACCAGCCACAGCCTGCCAGCCACAGGCCACCACTGATCACACTGCCACCAGCCACAGCCCTGCCACCACCCACAGCCCACACCACCAACCCCCTGCACCAGCCACAGCCCCTGCTGCAGCCACAGCCACCAACCACAACCCCAAGCACCAGCCACAGCCCCTGTCACAGCCCCCACACCAGCCCCACTAAGCGTGTGTGGTCCACTAACGTCGCCACAACCCACAGCAGAACCTATTTTATTGACAATAACAACGTCCTCGCCCAGATAAACCTCCTGCCACCCGCCATCTTCTTAGTCTCGCCTCCAGATATCTCTGGCCCATGTTGTGTCGTCCCTCGCCTCCAGATATACACTCCTGGGCTGTATGTTATGTGTCGTCCCCGCCTCCAGAATATACCTCCCGGGCTGTATGTTACATGTGATAAATCCTCGCCTCCAGATATACGCACCAGGCTATACATGTTATATATTAAATCCATACCAGATATACCTCCTGGGCTGTATGTTATGTGTGCATCCCCGCCTCCCAGATATACCTCCTGGGCTGTATGTTATGTGTCGTCCTCGCCTCCCAGATATACCTCTCCAGGCTGTATTGTGTTATGTGTGTCCCCCACCTCCAGAATATATACCTCCTGGGCTGCATGTCGTGTGTTGCCGTCCTCGCCTCGAATATAACTTCACAGGCTTGCATGGGCTGTCAGCTATTCCTGTACTCGAATATACCTCTGGGCTGTATGTTATGTGTCATCCTCTCCTCAGATATACCTGCAGGCTGTATGTTGTGTATAATTACACTTTCCAGAATACCATCTAAGACTTAACATATTGCATGCATTTGTGCCTCCAGATATACCTCCTGGGCTGTATGTTATGTGTCGTCCTCGCCTCCCAGATATACCTCCTGGGCTGTATGTTATGCGTTGTCCCCCGCCTCCAGATATACCTCTCCTGGGCTGTTATGTTATATTAATTCCACTTTCGGTATACCTCCTGAAACTGCGCCATTATGTGTCGTCCCCCGCCTCCAGATATCTCCTGAGCTGTATGTTTCGCGTGGTCTCGCCTCCGGAGCTCATACCTCCTGGAAGCTGTGTATGTGTCATTGTGTCCCACTTACTCAGAATATACCTCCCCTGGGCTCTATGTTGTAAATGCGTCCTTGCCTCCAGATATACCTCCCAGGCTGTATGTTATGTGTCGTCTCGCCTCAGATATACCTCCTGGGCTGTATGTTATATCCCTTAGCCCACCCTCCAGAATATACCTCTGAGCTGCTTGTGTTATGCGTCTTGTTACTCACTCCAGTCCCTCAGGCTTATGCATGTTGCATGTCGTCTCTTTCCAAATATACAGGCTGTATGTTATGCTATTCTCACCTCCAGAATATACCTCTCGAGCTGTATGTTATCGTCGTATAACTCTGGAAATATACCTCCCTAGGCTGTATATTGTATGTCGTCCCCGCCTCCAGATATACACTCCTGGAGCTTGCCATGTTAATTATATACCAAGGCTGTATGTTATACGTCGTCCTCCCCTCCGAATACCCACACTCGATATATCATTATATTTAATCCTGCCTCCCAGTACCACACTCACAAACACCATGTGTATTGCACAGACCATACAAACTATTATATTTATGTGTCGTCCTCTCCTCCCGAATGCCACCATGTTGTGTCTCACTCCCATTCCTCCATTATGTGTCATCCCCTTGAATATTTTCTGAAACATATGTTCATTACTCCCTTGCCTCCTGGGCTGTATGTGTGTGTCATTCTCTTTCCAGATATACCTCTCTGTTGTATCTGACATGTCGTCCCTTACTCCAGATATACCTCCTGGGCTTAGCATACTTTACATGTGTAAATTATCCTCAGTACATACCTCCAGACATGTTATGATATATATAAAGTAACACCTCTTGGGCTTACATGTTATCTAATATATAAATCCTTTTCCAGGCCATATTTATATCATTAGCATAAATCCATATCTCAGGCTTATATTATTCACACTCAAAATATACCTCCTGGGCTTAGCGCATGTTATGTGTCGTCCTCCTTATCGAATATACCTGCAAACACCATGTTGTTATGTTATTATATATATTATGTTGTCATCTTGAATATACCTCACCAAAACATGTGTCCCCGCCTCGAATATACCTCTGTTATTATATAATATATATCGAATCATACACTCCACCGGCTGTATGTTGTCGTCACTCCGAATATACCTCTATATTGTAATTACACTCCATACATACATAAACATATCAATCTCCTTTCTGATATACATCTGACACCATCATTATTATGCCTCAGATATATAGGCTGTATATTGCTTGTCATCCTCCTTACTCTAGACCCTCCCAGGCTGCTGTGTGCTCGTCAATTATCGCCGATGCCGGGCTGTATGTTTATGTGTCGTCCTCGCTTGCTCCAGGTATACTCAAACACCATTCAGCACGTCAATTATCGCCGGTCCCTTCCTACGGGCTGTATTTATTTACATATAAATACTCCTGGGCTTTATGCGTCGCCATTCATCTGCGCCGATACATGCCTACAAGGCTTAGCGCCATTGCATTAATCCTCCTCAGCAAAGATATCCTCCGGGCCAGCCATGTTATGTGTCGTGCCACTCCAGTCGCTACCTCCTGGGCTGTATGTTATGTGTCGTCGCATAAAGATACGCTCTGCAGGCTGTATGTTATGCGTCGTCCTCGCCTCCCGAATACCTGCTGGGCTGTCATCCGTCCTCGCCTCGAATATACCTCCACCATTTCGTATTCGCCGTATTCCCCGCCTCCGTCGCCCGCATCTGGCCATTACTATAGTCCATCCAGTCCGCCTGCCGTTTCAGTCGCGCCTCCAGATCGCGCACTGCAGGCAGCAGCATGTTGTCGCCAGTACGCCAGATCACCCTCACCGGGCTTATGTTATCGTCCCCGCCTCCAGATATACTCACAGGCTGTATGTTATGTATACCAGTCCCCGCGCTCCGAATATACCTCCTGGAAGCTTATGTTGTAATAATAAATTCACCGATGTACCTCCGTTTCTGTTATGTGTCGTCCCCATATCAGATGCCACCGAACTTGTATGTTATGTCCTTCATTCCCATATCAGTCTCTGGGCTGTATGTTATGTCGTCACGCCTCCAGTCCATACCTCTCCTGGGCTGCTTATGTTATATGTGTCGTCCCCACTTTCAGAATATACCTCCTGGGCTGCCCCATGTTATGTGTCGTCCCCACTTTCAGAATATGCACTCTGTTTCATCATCGACATCCATTCCCCTTACCTCCTGGGCTGTATATTTATGTGTCGTCCCCGCCTCCAGGTCTTACCTCTGGGCTGTATCATGTGTTCCCTCCCGAGATGTACCTGCAGGCTGTAGCCATTATGTGTCGTCCTCACTTTCCAGTACTACTCCCCATTTCATGTTATGTGTCTGCCCATCACCAGATAGAATCCTCTCAAAACATATGTATTCCCTCCCAGGAGAATCATACCTCCTGAAACATGTTTATGTTGTTAAATACACACTCAGAATGTATACCAGACTGTGTTGCATGTTATAAATTATCATCGAGAATATACCTCCTGGAGCTGTATGTTATGTGTCGTCACATAGAATGTACTCTCAAAATGCATGTTGTGTCCTCTCACTCCAGATATATATCCCATGTAATCTCGCCTCAGATATACCTCCTGAAACAACATGTTATGTGTCGTCCCCTCCAGAATCCATACATATAGGCATTCATGGCCTTGTGTCTCGCCTCCAGATATACCTCTGTCTTCATTAAGTCTGCCTCTCTGAGAATCTCCATGTGTGTCATATACAGATGCACCATGTGTCCTCACGCCTTGAATACACTCAAGACATGTGTGCTAAGTCACACCTCCAGATATGCATCCTGGGCTTTCATCATATGTGTCACCAATACACTCTAGATATACCTACTAGACTCATGCCGTGTCATTCTGAATATACCTCCTGGAGCTGTATGTTATGTGTCATTCCCATATAAAGATAACCCTCACCAGGCTCTTGTAACATGCTTATTCTCCTCCAGTAACACCTCCCCTGCTTGGCTGTATGTTATGTCGTCTCCCCATAGAATACCTCTGGTTATCTTGTCTCTCCTCGAATATACTCCCACGGCTGTATTTATTGTCAATATCGCCTCGAAATATACCTCCCCTGGGCTGTATGTTATCATCGTCCCCGCACTCACGAATGCCTCCTGGGCACCGCTTATGTTATGCGTCGTCCCCGCCTCCCGAATACCTCTGGGCTGTATGTCGGCCGTCTGATACACCGCCGATACCGCCACCAGGCTGTCGCGGCCCATGCACGTCGTCCCCGCATCCCAGTCCCTCCAGATATATGCCCTGCTGTATGTTATGCGTCGTCCGCTGCCGGCCAGCTCTTATGCTGTGTCTGCTGCCTCTGATGTGTTTCAACTGCTGTGTTCTGCTGCCTCTATGTTCAACTGCTGTGTTCTGCTGCCTCTGCTATGCTCAACTGCTGTGTTCTGCTGCCTCTGTTATGTTCAACTGCTGTGTTCTGCTGCCTCTGCTATGTTCAACTGCTGTGTTCCTCTGCCTCTGCTATGTTCAACTGCTGTGTTCTGCTGCCTCTGCTATGTTCAACTGCTGTGTTCTGCTGCCCTGTTATTTCAACTCTGTGCTGCCTCTGCTATGTTCAACTGCTGTGTTCTGCTGCCTCTGCTATGTTCAACTGCTGTGTTCTGCTGCCTCTGTTATGTCTCAACTGCTGTGTTCTGCTGCCTCTGCTATGTTCAACTGCTGTGTTCTGCTGCTCTGTTATGTTCAACTGCTGTGTTCTGCTGCCTCTGCTATGTTCAACTGCTGTGTTCCTCTGCCTCTGCTATGCTCAACTGCTGTGTTCTGCTGCCTCTGCTATGTTCAACTGCTGTGTTCTGCTGCCTCTGCTATGTTCAACTGCTGTGTTCTGCTGCTCTGCTATGTTCAACTGCTGTGTTCTGCTGCTCTGCTGTGCTCTGCTGCCTCTGCTATGTTCAACTGCTGCTCTGCTGCCTCTGCTGTGTTCTGCTGCCCTGCTATGTTCAACTGCTGTGTTCTCTGCTCTGTTATGTTCAACTGCTGTGTTCTGCTGCCTCTGCTATGTCTCAACTGCTGTGTTCTCTGCCTCTGCTGCTCCTGCTGCCTCTGCTATGTTCAACTGCTGTGTTCTCTGCCTCTGCTGTGCTCTGTTGCCTCTGCTATGTTCAACTGCTGTGCTCTGCTGCCTCTGCTATGTTCAACTGCTGTGTTCCTCTGCCTCTGTTATGTTCAACTGCTGTGTTCTGCTGCCTCTGCTGTTGCCTGCCTCTGCTATGTTCAACTGCTGTGTTCCTCTGCCTCTGCTGTGCTCTGTTGCTCTGCTATGTTCAACTGCTGTGTTCTGCTGCTCTGCTATGTTCCAACTGCTGTGTTCCTCTGCCTCTGTTATGTCCAACTGCTGTGTTCTGCTGCTCTGCTATGTTCAACTGCTGTGTTCTCTGCCTCTGCTGTGCTCTGCTGCCTCTGCTATGTCTAACTGTTGTGTTCTCTGCCTCTGCTGTGCTCTGTTGCCTCTGCTATGTTCAACTGCTGTGCTCTGCTGCTCTGCTATGTTCAACTGTTCTCTGCCTCTGTTATGTCCAACTGCTGTGTTCTGCTGCTCTGCTGTGCTCTGCTGCCTCTGCTGTTCAACTGCTGTGTTCCTCTGCCTCTGCTGTGCTCTGTTGCCTCTGCTATGTTCAACTGCTGTGTTCTGCTGCCTCTGCTATGTTCAACTGCTGTGTTCCTCTGCCTCTGTTATGTTCAACTGCTGTGTTCTGCTGCCCTGCTGTGCTCTGCTGCCTCTGCTATGTTCAACTGCTGTGTTCCTCTGCCTCTGCTGTGTTCTGCTGCCTCTGCTATGTTCAACTGCTGTGTTCTGCTGCCTCTGCTGTGCTCTGCTGCTCTGCTATGTCTAACTGCTGTGCTCTGCTGCCTCTGCTGTGTGTTCTGCTGCCTCTGCTATGTTCAACTGCTGTGTTCCTCTGCCTCTGTTATGTCTAACTGCTGTGTTCTGGCCTCTGCTATGTTCAACTGCTGTGTTCCTCTGCCTCTGCTGTGCTCTGCTGCCTCTGCTATGTTCAACTGCTGTGTTCTCTGCCTCTGCTGTGCTCTGTTGCCTCTGCTATGTTCAACTGCTGTGCTCTGCTGCCTCTGCTATGTTCAACTGCTGTGTTCCTGCCTCTGCTGTGCTCTGCTGCCTCTGCTATGTTCAACTGCTGTGTTCCTCTGCCTCTGCTGTGCTCTGTTGCCTCTGTTATGTCTCAACTGCTGTGTTCTGCTGCCTCTGCTATGTCTCAACTGCTGTGTTCCTCTGCCTCTGTTATGTTCAACTGCTGTGCTCTGCTGCCTCTGCTATGTTCAACTGCTGTGTTCTCTGCCTCTGCTGTGCTCTGCTGCCTCTGCTATGTTCAACTGCTGTGTTCCTCTGCTCTGCTGTGCTCTGTTGCCCTGCTATGTTCAACTGCTGTGCTCTGCTGCCTCTGTTATGTTCAACTGCTGTGTTCCTCTGCTCACGTGCTCTGTTGCCTCTGCTATGTTCAACTGCTGTGTTCTGCTGCCTCTGCTATGTTCAACTGCTGTGTTCCTCTGTCTGCTGGCTCTCTGCTGCCTCTGCTATGTTCAACTGCTGTGTTCCTCTGCCTCTGCTGTGCTCTGTTGCCTCTGCTATGTTTCAACTGCTGTGTTCTGTTGCCTCTGTTATGTTCACTGCTGTTCCTCTGCCTCTGCTGTGCTCTGTTGCCTCTGCTATGTTCAACTGCTGCTCTGTTCCTCTGTTATGTTCAACTGCTTGTCCTGCCTCTGCTGCTCTGTTGCCTCTGCTATGTTCAACTGCTGTTTTCTGCTGCCTCTGCTATTTCAACTGCTGTGTTCTCTGCCTCTGTTATGTTCACTGCTGTGCTCTGCTGCCTCTGCTATGTTCAACTGCTGTGTCCTCTGCCTCTGCTGTGCTCTGCTGCCTCTGCTATGTTCAACTGCTGTGTTCCTCTGCCTGCTATGTTCAACTGCTGTGCTCTGTTGCCTCTGTATGTTCAACTGCTGTGCTCTGCTGCCTCTGCTATATTCCAACTGCTGTTCCTCTGCCTCTGTTATGTTCAACTGCTGTGTTCTCTGCCTCTGCTGTGCTCTGCTGCTCTGCTGTTCCTCCTGTTCCTCTGCCTCTGCTGTGCTCTGTGCCTCTGCTATGTTCAACTGCTGTGTTCTGCTGCCTCTGCTATGTTCAACTGCTGTGTTCCTCTGCCTCTGTTATGTTCAACTGCTGTGTTCTGCTGCCTCTGCTATGTTCAACTGCTGTTCCTCTGCCTCTGCTGTGTTCTGCTGCCTCTGCTATGTTCCTGCTGTGTTCCTCTGCCTCTGTTATGTTTCAACTGCTGTGTTCTGCTGCCTCTGCTATGTTCAACTGCTGTGTTCCTCTGCCTCTGTTATGTTCAACTGCTGTGTTCTGCTGCCTCTGCTATGTTCAACTGCTGTGTTCCTCTGCCTCTCTGCTGTCTCTGCTGCCTCTGCTATGTTCAACTGCTGTGCTCTGCTGCCTCTGCTATGTTCAACTGCTGTGCTCTGCTGCCTCTGCTGTGCTCTGCTGCCTCTGCTATGTTCAACTGCTGTGTTCTGCTGCCTCTGCTATGTTCTGCTGCCTCTGTATAATTTCAACTGCTGTGTTCCTCTGCCTCTGCTGTTCCTCTGTCTCTGCTGGCTCTGCTGCCTCTGCTGTGCTCTGCTGTATTCTGGTATTACTGCTTCTGTTGTTACTGCTGCTGTGTCCCGCCATGCTACCACAGTGTCCTTCAGCGCCTCCTGCAGATGGTACCGTTGTGTTCTGTGTCTTCTGGCTGTTGTTGCCCTCCACACACACACACGCTGTATTCTTAGGACCTCCGTTCACTGTCCTCAGGCTCCCCTACGCATGCTGTGTCTCTGTACCGCCCTGAGATAAAAAGCCTCTACACCTCACTCTCCTACCACCACCACCACCTATCGTCACCACACACCACCACCTACCGTCACCACCCACCACCTCCCGTCACCACCCACCACCATCACCTACCACCATCCACCCTCCCAAAACCACCATCACCAAACCAACAATCAAATAACCTAAACTACCCTTCAACTACCCAATAAGAGACTAATAATCCCTCGTATATAAACAGTACAGACCTACAATCACCTCACGTCAGCAGCTGCAAGTCCGGCAAACAAAGACCAATAGTAACACAGACAAACACTTAGCTAATTGCAGCCTCCCGGGGACTAATGAAGCCTGGGATTGATAAAATGGGCGACCCCTCCTTTTTTAACGCTAAATCTTATCTAACCTAACTTAACCTAATGCTGACCTAACCTAATGCTGACCTAACCTAACGCTGACTGACCTAACGCTGACCCAACCTAATGCTGACCTGACCTAACGCTGACCTAACCTAACGCTGACCTGACCTAACCTAACGCTGACCTGACCTAACGCTGACCTAACCTAATGCTGACCTGACCTAACGCTGACCTAACCTAACTTGGCCTCAACCCTAACCTAACACTGACCTGACCTACACTGACCTAACCTAACACCTAACCCTAACTGACCTGACCTAACGCTGACCTGACCTAACACTGACCTAACCTACACTAGCCCTAACCTAACACTAACCTGACAGCCTGACCTGACCCACAACCTGACCTAACCCCCTGACCTAACCTAACACTGACCTAACCTAACACTGACCTAACCTAACACTGAACTGAACTGACCTGACCTAACCTAACCTAACCAGGGGGGGAGGTGGAGTTGGCTCACTCCCGGCAGGTGGATGAAACTCTACTCACAACCCCTCATCATCAACCTCCCTCACAACTCACAATATTCACTCAACTCATAACCTCCTGACCTATATATGTAAAGTCGTTCACAAACTTACTCATAAACCTCCATTATAGGTCCTACCTGTGGAGACAATTAGCACCAGGTGACCCATCGACCTAATTAAAAGCTTATACTCACAAAGTTCACCTATCTCGCCTCCTCCTCCTCCTCCTCTCCTCCTCCACTCCCTTCCCTCTCCTCCTTCTCACCCTCCATCCCTCATCCACCTTCCCTCCCTCTCCCTCCTCCCTCCCTCCTTCCCCTCACCCCCTTCCTCACCCCTTCCCTCCTCCCTCCCTCCCTCCTCCTTCCCCTCACCCTTCCCTCCCTCCCTCCATCCCTCCCTCGCTGGAACCTACAAAACATCAATTAGATATAAATAGAACTCTTGATAGAATCCGTCTCGCTGTAATGTTGATGAATTAAAGGGATATGTTTCAATTCTCAGTCGTGTCCTCCCCCTCCCCCTACTGTGCGGTATAGTACGAGGAACCTTGTCTGTCTGTCTGTCTGTCTATTGGGCTGTAAGTCATTTTCTTGTCTATATTCTGCTTTACTATATAGGTAGAGGAAGAAGGAGAAGGAAGGAAGAGGAGGAGAAGGAAGGAAGAAGGAAGGAAGGAAAGGAAGAAGGAAGGAGGAAAAGGAAGGAAGGAAGGAAGGAAGGAAGGAAGGAAGGAGGAAGGAAGAGGAAGGAGGGAGAAGGAAGGAAGAAGGAAGAAGGGGGAAGAAGGAAGGAAGGAAGGGAGGGAAGGAAGGGAGGAAGGAAGGAAAGGGGCGGGAGGAAGAGGAAAGGGAAGGAAAGAAGGAAGGAAGGAAGGAAGGAAGGAAGGAAGGGAAGGAAGGAGGGAGGGGGGAAGGAAGGGGAGGGAGGGAGGGAGGGAGGAGGAAAGCAGGCGGGAGAAGGAGGGAAGGAAGGAAGAAAGAAGGAAGGGAAGAAGAGGAAGGAAGGAAGGAGGGAGGGAAAGCAGGCGGAGGAAAGGAGGGAAGGAAGGAAGGAAGAAGGAAGGAAGGAAGAAGGAAGGAAGGAAGGAGGGGGAAGGAAGGAGGGAAGGAGGAGAAAGCGGGCGGGGAGGAAGGAAGGAAGGAAGGAAGGAAGGAAGGAAGGAAGGAAGGAAGGAAGGGAGGGAGGGAGGAGGAGGGAGGAGGAGGGAGGAGGGAGGGAGGAGGGTCCTGTTAATCTGTCTATGCCTGTCTGTTAAAGCTGTACCACTTCTACTGTCTGTATTCCTCAAAACACACTTGCGGGCAGGGGAGGGTTACCTCGCCATTCGTCTTCTGTCTATTCGTCGTCTCACATACTCGTCACTCGTCAATTAAAGGGAACACGTCGCCTATTATTGCAGCTACATCCAGCACACAGTAAGGTCACGTCTGCTGTCCCCCCGGCTGGGATATGTCTGCTGTCTCGGCCACAACTGGGATATGTCTGCTGTCTCGCCACAACTAGGATATGTCTGCTGTCTCCGGGTATAACTGGCACACGTCCTGTCCCCCAACAGATATGTCTGCTGTCTCCGGCCACAACTGGGATATGTCTGCTGTCCGGCCACAACTGGGATATGTCTGCTGTCTCCGGCTACAACTTGGATATGTCTGCTGTCTCCGGCTACAACTAGGATATGTCTGCTGTCTCCAGG